ATTGTAAAATAAATTCCGAAAACTAATAAAGAAATTAAAAAAAAATTAAGTGGCTTGAAAATTATTATACGAACGATTCAGGGTTACAGAGAAAAAATATTCTTGTAACGACTCTGGGATCCGGCGAGAAAAACCCCGGCATAAGAAAAAAAGGTTCTTTACAACCTTAATAGAAGAGTACATATCTTTGTTTAAAGGTAGAACTAAAACAAATTTGAAAGAGCATTTGGTTCTCAAAATATAGTACTGTAAACTTGTGGCATGATAATTTATTCAAATGTAATAATCTGATCTGTATATGTAAATATTTAGTACTTCCAGTGCTAGTTTCTAACAAAATAATATATGTGATTTAACTGTTTTATAAGTATGCCTCTAGAAACTTTCATCTAAGAACTATTACTTACCAATATCTTCATTACTGCAAGAGAGTTTTGTGCTTTCATTGCAAAAATCAGTCATCGAGTGATCTTCACAATCATTTTCGTTTAATATATCTGCGTTTTGCTCAAAATCTAGTTTTTCGCAGGGGTTCGCTACTTTATTGTTGGCATCCAAAGTGTGACCAATTACATTTATTCCTTCAGCTGAGCTAGCAGCATTAAATTTCATACTTAAATTTTCGTTGGTTTTACTTGTTTGGTTTTGATACGTTTGATGTGTTTTGGTGTGATCACATTTAATTCGAGAATTGATAATTTGAATTGGATCCAAATCGACATCGCTGGACAAGGGTGCATTTAGATTTTCTAATGCCTAGAAGATTAATTAATTTCAAATATGTATTTAAGAATAAATATATAAGAAATTTTTCTACTTACATTAATATTTTCAAAATCTTTAACACATTCCTCAAAAAATGTTTTATTTATATTAAAAACTTCTTTGAAACTCCTGTAGGTGTTACCACAATTAGTATCCACTTCATAGTAATCATTTGAATCTGTACCAATGGCACCTTCGTACTCTTTAAAGTCGTTCTGTTGTACGTTACGATTGGGATTTGGAATTTTACTGACTATTGGTCGTTGTTGTTGTATATTTGATGTATAATCTAAAGATGTTGGAGATAGTGCTGAACTCAAGGCCCTCTGCACAAACTCATCGGCAGATGACGTAAAAGTAACTGTTGTGTTGTACAAATTCGGATTTAAATGCCCATAATTACCATTTTTATTAAGCTCAATACTAGATTGTGGGTGTGTATAAGTAGCGCCGGTTTCGTGGTTATTTGTGACTTGCATAAACGGTGCAGCATATCCGGCTGTTGTTGCTATATCAGGAACTCGCATAACGTTCTGAATCTATTAATAATTAATAATTAATTAACAGTTCTTGACAGTTCTTTTATAAAAGTTTAATTAAATGAAAACGATCTGATCAAAAACTACTCATTAAAATATATAACCTACTTTTAATGCCCAGAATTAAATTTAAAATTAGCTTCCCATACAACAAACCGGTGCAAATATTTAATTTTAATTGTTTACATTTATTAAGCTGTCAGTATCTATAACTAAAATCTATAATGTAAAACACCGCATTTTCCACCAAAAATAAATCCAATATTCTCGTAAAGATGTCCCGCAGAGATATCATTCTTTTGGTAGGTTTACTTACAGGTCATTGAAGACAAGAAAACCATACCAGAAGATTGAATCTCCCCTTCAATCATACGTGTCGCAGCTGTGGAGAGAACGATGAAAGTGTCTCTCATCTACTCTATCTATGCCCAGCTCTTGCACGAATGTGACTAAATATTTTAGGAACGCCCTCCTTAAGATCTTGATTAATTGCAAGACCTACCATTAGGCATTTCAAGCCTCGTCTAAGGTTCTAGGAGATTTTCTTCACTTCACTGAGTTTCTTCACTTCACAGTAACACAATGGGCCAATAGGCTTAAGTGGATTGCCTAGGGAACGCTGGTATAACCTAATCTAACCTAAACACCGATTACTATAATATTGCACTTCACCAACGTTACATTTAATGCTTTTGTTCTAATTAACAACGTCCTTACATTATTTCTTAAAAATTCTTTAAATATATCTTTAAATACCTTTAATCCCTTTAATTAATTTCTTTAAATTTAATAAAGGTATCGAATGTGTTCAAGGAATTAGAGTTTAGATCAATTGAAACCAATAGAAACAACAATCTGGTAAAGAATAACCGAATAAGAAAACGAATAAGAAAATGAATAATCTTTGAACCTCTTTTTTTGTCTTGTCTAAGTAGGTGCCGTTTTTAAGAGAACGGCACTTAAACAGCTGATAATGTTATCTGTACCGAAAAAACAGATATTTTTGCAGGAACAGGAACGAAAACCGAAACCGAAAAGACGTATTTTTTTCTTTTGAACCGAAACGGAAAAAATTTCCGTTCGAAGCCCTGATTAAATAACGTCATCTTTTTGATGAGTGATATCTGGATAATCATCATGCAGACATATGTTTAAGTATCATTTATATAACATTTATGGTATATAGTCGTTTATATCAAAAATTGTCAACAATATATATATATTCCATTAGAAAGATATACTGAACTCCAAAGAATACTTCTATAAAATCATCTGAATAACTGAATAGTCAGAATTCTACGAAGCTCTTATTACAATGGATCTTCAAAGTGGAAACAGACATTATTGAGTAGATGTGATTTAGACACTAACTGGCGTTTGATTCAGTAAAGAAAATGGATACAAAGTTATTTGAACAAGTTTTCGAGAACTATATTGAACACAGAAATGGAGAACTTATATTAAGAGAACCGTGAGTTACTTGGTCGTTTGAAAATATGGGTAACTCCAGGAACATTAAGTTTCCTATTCGCAAAATACCACTTTAATTATACTAAGTGCAGTTTCTAAAATATTTCCGTTAAAGCGAACCGAAATTATTTGGCATTAATAATGCCATGAGATTATATGTCGAGTAAAGAATATTTGATTTATTTGGCGAATTTTTTTTTCCAATTTTAAATCATACAGCTCTTAAAAGAAACACGATATATAATAAAAATTAATATTCATATTGTATATCTTTATATCGGAAACACATTTCATATCATTTACCTAGAAGTTTAAGGTCTTGTTAATGATTGGTAATTATTACAAAAATATTAGTTCGAAAAAAGGACTGATATCGTAACAATCTTTTAAATATAAAAAGTAATGGGAAAGTTTTTAAGAAACTTCGATGAATTCAAAATTTATCCCGGCTGACGTCAACTATACATCGTGTAAGCAAGTGAAAGACTTAACTGATGAGTGATTTATTACACAATTTCAACTTCAACTCGTATACCAAAAAAAACTGTCAACATAAAAATATTATTCCCAACTGATGACGACATTATGTGCCTAAATTTCTTACTAATTGTGAAAGGCAGCTTTGTGGTTTCTTTGCGAATTTCAGTCGCTACATTTATTTCAACTTATAGATGTAGGGGTTCGGAAAAAGACCGGTTCGGCTATACATTTGCAAAAGCCGCAAACATTTGAACCACAAAATAATCATAGAATATTAATTTCACAACAACTCAAATCTACTTAATTCAAATTTGTTTCATATTTAAGAGATTATTAAGTTTTCTCACCAATAAACATGTATATATTTTTTGTATATCCTTCTTAAAAAAAAATTGAGTCAGTGAGGCTTTGCATGGTATCATACACAATATCAAAAGAAAGTGAAAATGGAAGTAGTTGCTCTCATAAGGAATTATCTTTATTATATAATTGAAAGCATACCTCAGATCATCAGGGATTTATGAACTGACGAAACCCAAGAAAATCCACACTGCAAACATAACCGAGTTCAACAGTTTTTATAGTTCCATAGTTCGGTACTTAGCAATCGCAAATATGAAAAACGACCCACATGAAATATCCTTGAAATGAATGTTTTATGATTGCTGAATAAAAAAATTGATTTTTATAGTGTTAATTTTAAAGTTAGTAGTTGTTAGTAGTATGAGGAGGGTGGAGAGTCTTTCGCTTCCATTGTTAGCATTCCCGCACTACTCAAGGATACATCTAAGGAAATGCATATGTTTCACTCATGCGCAGTTGGGCAGAAGTTTTGCATGTTTGCAATTACCAAACATTGATAAAAAAAGATTTAATGAACCTAATTTTATGCCTTGTAGAATAATACTACTATTTCACAATCCTTCGGGGTGTTTTTACAATCATTGTATGTGTACCTGCGAGCACATCAGTGAGAATGCAGCAAATGCATTATAGTTTCTCCAAGAGAAATTTCAGGCTTTAACATGACTGAAGAGTATACACTGTAGTGCAAGAAAAAGAATAGTAATTTCAATACATCAGCTTACTGTTTATACATCATCTTAAGCAACCCAAAGTTTTTGTTTGCAATGTCAAGTTTTATTACTTATAAGATAATTATCCCCACCTCACTTTAACAACACACTTTTTAATCTGGATTCAGTTTCTTTGCTTTCGAGCATATTTATAAAAAACAATAATCTTTTATATTTGCACTGTTTATAAGTGGTACTTGGTCCATTTGAGTACTTGTCCACGGAACTGATATTTTTAGCGAATGGCACTATTGTCTATGCAATATTTTTATAGAGTTAAAACCATGACCATGCTTTCCCACGACTTTTATGTACACATTGGACTTGTAGTTACATTGTGAAGCATAATTTCATCATTTTATTAATGTTCATGATTTCCTTAACTTCTAGAAGCACGAATTAACTCCAATAAAAATCAATAAACACAAAACAATGGCTTAGGAGGTACGTTCGCGACTCCACTCACTTTTCAGAAATAGTTAAAGACTGCTCTAAGGAACAGTTTTAATAAGCTTTACCTAAAATATTTAATCTATACACCATATATATGTTTATTTTCACTAAACTAATGAGAATAGGTAGAACTTAAAGGAAATTGATTTTTTTCAACATCTCTTCACAGTTCCATTTACGTCCACCGGATACCGTACAAACACCAAACACGAACACGACTAACCTCATGACGAAAACTTCAGAGCGTGAAATTAAAAAAAGCTTACATTTCATATGTCACATTTAGAATTCTTCTTGGTTTGTTGTAGTTCCTGTTTAGTATGAAATCCATAGGGGTGCTCTGCGCAGGTCGCAAGTCGAATTTCAAATGACGGTATACGATAGCCAATGCGTTACTGCCAGATATTAAAATAAATATTTTAAAATTCAAATTTGAACGAATAAGAAACGTCATTAAAAAATACATACCCAGGTTATTTAAAAAACAATCGTATGAAAGAATCTCTGGTATACAATATTATACTATATAAAACTTTCATTTGCTCTCTAAATTCATGAATCACAATTTTTAGTTAACTGATTTATTTTAAGAAAACAATTACCAATTTGTTCGAAATTTTGGTACATCAGCATTTTGGTACATTATAAAAAAATTAATTAGAATTTGGTTCAAATTCGAGTCTATCAGCACTATATCAAATTTTAGTTAAGTGATTTATTTAAACAAAAAAATTGAGGTACTAGATCCAAATCTTAGTCATCAGCAATATATCAAATTTTAGTTAAGCAATTCACTTTCAAACAAAACACCAATTTGGTTCCAATTTTAGTACATCCGCAATACTGATTGTTTAAAAAAAATAACCAATTTGGTCAAATTTTTAGTACATCAGTAATACAACAAATTCAAGTCAAGTATATAAGCAATATATAGAATTTTCGTTAAGTGATCTCTTTAAAAAAAATATTACCAATTCAGATTTACTACAAATTTTACAGTATTCAATTTTAAGATAAGTGACAAATTTAGAAAGAATGACCAATTCGGTTCAAATTTTAGCACATCAGCAATATATCAAATTATTGATAAGTGACTTATTAAAAAAGCATATGACCACTTTGGGCTAAATTGTGAAATCTCAGTAGTATATCAAATTTTAGATATATGATTTATTTCAAGAACAACATTGACCCAATTGATTGAATTTTCAGTATATTAGGATTATATCAAATTTTAGTTAACTAACTCATTTTAGAAAAAATAAAACCAATGTAGTCCAAATTACATCATATTTCAGTTAAGAGATTTGTTCCATCAGCAATATACGCTATATTACAGCTATGTGATTATTAACATATGATTTTGTACACATACTATAGGTACATAGTATATATATATATACATATATATATGTACAAGAATAGTGCAACAAATCGTTACTTGAAGTTTTTATTTTGTTTACAGCTAAAACCTTGACGAATATTAGACCTTCATGAAATGAAGAATATAGTTTTATAAAGAGAACTATATTTTATCAAAGTAAAATATAAACATTTCTATAGTAGTTATCAATTAGCAATTAGCTAATTTGGTAATGTAGATCTTTCATTGATTTAACGTCAAAATTTCATGATATTTTATAATGACCAAAAATTGTTCGCATTGACTGACACTTTTTACTGATTCCCGGCATTCACCTATCAACACTCTTCGGATTCACGCAAAAAAAACTTACTATAAAAGGCTTGTACTGACATCCTGAAAGACACTTTCTGCCGAGGATCTTAAACACTTCATCAACAAGCTTTCAAACTGTGCGAGTTTGAAGGTAATAATTTTGATAAAATAAATATTTTTTGTCGAAAAAAATTGTTCCAAAAAATCTTTTACAAGTCCGGCAACCTGTATTCTCATATATGATATGATTTTTTGAAAGAATTCGTAACCTCTTAATAAATTTCTATCGAGTTATGAAAGAGTTCTTATTAGCTATCTGCCAATTAGTCGTTTAAAATGACATCACAAAGATCTAATATGCTAAGAGGTCTCGTAATAATCAAACAATTAAAAACCTACTTAGTTTCCTTAGGAAATTATATTGGCTAAATAGAGTTATAACAGAAATGTGGAAACTGCACCTGTACAATCATCGAATGTTATTAAAATAATAACGAACTGTAAGAAATTACCAATTATGGTGTTATCGAAAAAGGTGATTATCTATAAAAATTAAAAGAAGTCTTTAATTTAAAAAAAATAAAAATGCGCAAACAGAAAATTACTACTGATATTAAATTTCCAACAAAAAAATCCAAAAATGTAAGACATTAATTGATTATTGACAACCTATAACTCAATCGAGCAGTACTTTTGTTTTTTATATTTCCATATTTTATTTATATATGCTTACCAAAATACTTATAGAGATTTTTCACTTGACGTATTATGTATATGCTAACATCACATGGTTTCCTTTCTATTCAGTCCATTGATAATGGTCTTCAATTTCTAAAATATTCTAGACTACCATTTTACTTAATCCATAATTAATATTTATATATTAACGATATATTAACTCAAAGAATATTTCTAAAAAACTTTCTACAAAAATTGGTACCAACTACAAATATATTTTAAAAATTCTCAGCCACGGTGATTTTATATCAAATCATCATACATATATCAAATTGATATTATATCAATATCTTTGAATGAATACAATTTATGGAGTATTGAAATTAGAAGCTGAATTTTAGTAGACATCTTTCCGAGTAAACTTTTCCGGTCTTTGAGTTCTTATATTGATCTTAAGAACATATGCATATTATTTAATTTTTTGTACATTTATTGTGTGAATTCACAATTATTAAGTCCGGTATCTTGTGTACCAAGCTGTATCATGTTTTATGAAAAAAAAAACCCAACAATGCTAAATTTTATAAAAATTCTTCGTCAAATATTTGCGCTCCAAAAGCTATAATTGCTCCAAAATCTTTACTATTATTTACACACAATTACTCTGATATTTAATATAAACTTGCGTTTATACTGAATATATGTATATGCATATATTTTGATTTTTTCTATTAATTCACACAATAAATATTTTTAATATGAACATAACAATTTGTACTTTATAAATAAACTATATGAGTGTGGCACCTTGGGTTAAAGTTGCTTGTATCTTAAATGTTCATAAATTCTCGCAAAATCTGAAAATTCTTCTTCCGTAAATATGGAATCTTGTGGTTCTTCTTCCTTTGGCACTTCTTCCACATGACGTTTGTGTACGTTCTTCATTATCTGTAAGACAATGTAATGTAATTCCAGACAATACATTTAATATGAAAATACAAATCGAAATTTATGTATTACCTTATTTGCAACGTCTTTGTCGACTTGGTTTTTCGACAATGCCAACAGACGTTTAATGTTCTCATCAGTTTTATTATTATTGAGTTCGAGTTCTTTTCTAATTTCTTGAACGTTCTGTTTAAGTGGTTTCGTATTAACATTTGAGTTATTGACAATGCTTTTCTTTTTTTTCAAAGCCAATTTGCTGTATCCTTGAACTTCTGATCCCGCATGGTGCTTTTGACCCTTTTGTTTAACATCTGAAATTGTTAATACAAGTTGTATTATAAGATTTAATAAAAAATATTCTTTCATTACTTTTATTGGAAGTAGTTGTCAAACCATCTTCCACTATATCCATACTCAATTTTAGCAATTCAAGAGACATTTTCAAACAATTTTTACCGAATTTCAAAACAAACAAATCAACGCGGAACCTTGGACTGCAAAATTGTTTTTCTTATATTTGACGTATGCTAGATGTGGCATAGAACTCAAGTGCTTTTGACATTTTATAATAGATATGACACTTTAAATTTATTGGAAATCATTCAAATATTAGGTCTGTTTCACAAATACTCGTAGTAACTTTGAGTAACACTGTGTATACATAAATGCGTTCCACCAGCAAATTTTTAAGTAAATGATACCATGAAGTAATTTTCCTATCAAAAATTTGAAAATGATACATAGATTTTACTCGTACATTAGGTCTGCTCCACGAGCTACTCAAGTAAAACACAAGTACAAACTGAGAGCATAACACAAATAAAGTGCCAACTTACGCTCTTTACATAGATTTTCATGGAACAGCTTTGTGTAAAATCTGGTGAGAATATCACTGCCGCGCAAATAAACAATACAAAAATTTAAATTCACCAAAAACAACTGATTCACTCATCACAAAAACTTTGAACATACTCAATTGAAAGTATTAAACAGACCTTAATAATATTAAAAGTTGTTTTTAGCATTTGGTAATTTTACAATATATATGCGTTTTTAATTAGTTTGAAAATATGTTTGTCGACATTTTTCGCCTTAAATCAGTTGATTTATTTATAATAAGTTCATTTATATGAAAACTTTTTGTGTTTTAAATTATCCTCATTAGTGACCTTAATGAGCAAAACTAAGTAAATAAGATCAAAGGATACATGGTATTATATCTTATGCTTAATTTATAAAGAAGTTACACTGCTAATCTAAGCGAAATTTTAATTTGCAATTGCAACAAACATCCGATAAAACTGATTGATCGAGGCTAGTAGAAAATTAAGTCATACTAGTTATAGCTTGTTCAATCTGGTATTGAATTATTTATAAATTTCTATGGGTTTCCATTTTTTTATTACACAATTCAAAATCTTGGTTTCAGCACATATCAAGCCACTTTTTAACATAAGAAGCCGATTATTGCATAATAAATTGTAACATATAATTTGTTTCCAATTTCTAAAGAATGACTGATTTAGTAATGTGAATTTAGTTTCACACCTTCACCGATGTTGGGGTTATATTATTATTTGAACAGAAATGTGATATGGTAATGTGAAAAAAAAATTAGAAAATCTAAAGTTATGAAATGTTTAAGCAATTGCTTTTAATGCGATGTCAGACTGATGTCTATTGCGGTATTATGTCTGTCCTTTGATTGGCTGGAACTTTTAAGCTTTAGTGTGTGTGGTAAAAAGCACTTGTAGCTTGACGAAAGCTTTTTGAAAGCTTTTAATTCTTTTAAAAGTTGAATTATTAACAACATGGAATCTTGTGTAAATATTTGGGCGCGTCTTCCATTCGAAGACATATATATGTATATAAGAAATATATTCCATATATTTTTAAATAGAAAGTAGATAAAGTCTATTAACTATAAATAAAACCCTTATATTCTTCATTCAATTGTAACTTTAATATAATTTTGTTGTAGCTACGATTAAATACTATCCGAAATTTAAACGTCTATTGAAAGAATATCGTATTTTATGTGAAATCATATCATATTTATATTTAAAATAATGAAAATAAAATTAATTTGGCACTTATATGAATTTAGTGGTTATTAGAAACAAAAATACTTTAAACTGATATTTAAAGTGAAATCCTACTAGTTAATAAGAAACAAATATCTATTTTAATCTTTATGTTTATAAACATCGCAAAAAATTCGTTTAGAATTTTAAAACGAAGGAATTCATTTAAGACGAGTAATGTTTTGCGGCAATTACGTGTCAGACACCATTTCGATTCAAGTTCAATATCTCATAAGGACGATGGAAGGACACGACTTACATCAACTGCAGAAAACATGGCAGACTAAAATGTTTGCTTTGGGTTTAATGCTAGGATTTGTAATGTAAGGGTCCTGAACCCTCTTAAAAGTTTTCTCTGAAAAAATATTAACTCTAGTCTACAGATGGGGAACTCTATTTGCACAGGAAAAAGTATCTTACTAATGCTATTTAAACTTACATTACTTTTATACTGAAGGTTTTCGAAACTAATCATGGTTTCAAAAGTTGATATTTTCGATAGAAATCAGTTGGACTATTTTGCAGGTCATAAATTGTTTGTTTCTAAGCATTTTTCATGATTTTCTTTGAGCCTTAAATGTATAGTTTTTTATTACTTTATGTGAAAGTTCTTATTATAGTATTTTTTCACTTCCCAAATTCGACTATAACATGATTTCTTATACAAGGTCAGGATTGCTTCAATACAAGTAAAAACTAGTATTTAATGGATACTTTACTTTCGATATTGAGTACTTATTTACTCTTATAATTCTTTGAATACTTATAGCGTTTCCGATTGTTAAATCTTAAGTAACTTTTTCAATCAATATTTACGTTTAGTGCAATTTTCATTTTCTATTGACAAATCTAAAGCGAAATGTTTAACACTCGAGATAAGTTGAAAACACTCTAGAGTACGAAAATTAAAACGAAATAACGAAATTTATTTTGAAATTAACAGCTGTGTGTTCTTGACAGTTGAAATATATTTGATATTCACAATATTTTATTAATTATTATAAATAAACATTTGCTTATTTTTAATTATCACTATATACTTCAAATATATAATATACATAATTTTTATCAATTTTAAAGGTACATATATTTTTTTTGTATTTAAACTTAATTTATATTTAAAGCGATACTAACTTGTCAATGTCGTTGACAAATATTTTTGGCGTTTTCAGTTCGTAAATCTAGATTCCATCTAGATTGACTCTCGATCTGTCATATTTAGTTGCCCAATTAAACATTTTTAGAGTAATCTGATATTTTTGTAGGGGTGTTAGTAAATATTTCATATATTTTCATAATACATACATATATGTATATGACACAAGTCACCCTTTGTGTCAAATCATATAAATAAAACAGCTGTTCATTTAAGATAATCTTGCTACTCTGACAAAATATCTATAGTGTTATAAATTAATATCGAGTGTTATACATTTCGCTCAAGTTTCACCAATCGAAGATAAAAATTATACTAAAAGTGATTATCGTTTAAAAATGTTAACCCAGATTTAGCAATCGAAAACGACATCAATTTACCTTTTGTATGTTTAATTAGGCCCCAAAATTAAAGCAAACTATAGTAGATCGAAAGCTAGTATAGATTTTTCAAATGATAACATTAATAATATTACATATATCAACATTATTAACGTATCTAAAAAAAGTACTTGGTGTGGAAAGATAAGTACCTTAAACTTTTTATATCACACAAGTCTACTTAGGACGTGTGCGAGTTAGGCTAAGTTGCGTTCTAAATAAGGGAAATTCTAAGATGAGCCGATAATGTAGTGATGTGTCGATACGTGTTGATAAATGGCTAAATTGTGCAGTGCAAAAAATCCCAAAAAATCTCCCATTTGGTTTAGCATCAACTTAGCCTAACTCGCACACGACCTTAGTACTGACTTACTTATTCATTTATATATATACACACATACCTATATTATTTATTTTTTTAAAATGACTTATTTGTAATTATTTTACAAGCAAAAAAATAATTTTGCAGTTTATAAATGTCTAAAGGGCACTTACAAATATTGGGATATATGAATATTTTCTAAGTACTCGTATTAGTAAATATAGATATTTACAGATATGGTGCTATCTCTATACAAAGTACGTTCTAACTCAGTGTACAACAACAAAAGGTTAAAACTTTAATATCTTTTGGAATATTAATATACGCTCTACTAATTTCAGACTTTCACGTCAATTTTTGTCTGAGATGGACAGATTTCTTTATAGAGATTCTTGGAGTTCCATAGTTGAGGTTAATGGTGGGCACTCAATTTTTGCCCACACTGTTTTTATCAGATCTCATCAACATTTTTTCCCCCCAGAATGTAATGCTATCTTCTTGTTTTTGTTTATAGATTTAATTTTTGTTATCTTTTTATTATATATTGTTGCTAGGCCAGGTAAACAAAAAACAAATTATGAGTATTTGTGAACAATTTTTATTAAAACAGAGCAGACCAGCTATCAAGAAATCAGTGAGCAATAAAATCGGGACTACTCACCACATAAACATTTGTTGTTGTTTAACACTGAGAGAAATGTTATTGATTTCATGATGCATAAATTTATTTAAAATTTTCCCAATTCAAAAGAAATAGTCTGTTTCTCCCACATTACACTTATTTAACACATGTTTATTAAAATATTATAAATCCAGTTTCCATTTATAGATATGTAAAAACATATTTGTGTATTAATGAATTTAAAAAAAAAACAGGCATTGTTTTGTGAATCAATATTTTTAGAAGTGTAAATTTTAATTCCCTTTTGATGTTACACATCAAAAAATCAGAACAAAATGGTAGGGTACCTATAAAAATGCCCCTCTATATTAAAAAACGAAAGATATTAAAAAAATTAGTTAACTACTTGTACTAAAAATAAAATCAAGTTGTGAAATAATATTAGATGATGTTAATGATGATATTTTTTATCGTCTTAGGTTAAGCATCGATCCACTATTAACAATTTGAACTTGACTTCATTAAGGGATTCAGTTCAAAAATACTCCACATTACTTAATTCTCGTTCTATTGTTCTTCTCCAAGTTTAAGCTCATGCCTCAGTCCAGAATCTTGCGTATTTTGCAGGTTTCATCACAATGTTTGTCAATAATATTGTTGTTTAACTTTCAAATAGAGTACGTGATCCAGTTAGATTTATACTGGACTCACATAGGGGTGTGATTTGTAATTTTAGCTGTCTGGTTTGTGTCATTTTAGCTGCCAATTGTTGTTGTTTTCAATGCAAAATGACAATTTTTGAAAGCTAAAATTACAAAAATAACTCTCGTGTGAAACTAGTATCGCACTTGCCCAGAGTTTGCTATTGGATATGTTCTAAGAACACCAAATGATTAATATACAGTGTGTTTTTATACTGATTATAAAAGTCAGCA